TGTTGCCCTTCTCTGGACCTGCTCCAGCCCCTCCATGTCCTTCCTGAGCTGAGGGCCCAGAACTGGACACAGCACTCCTGGCGGTTTGGAGCCCTCAGACACCGAGAGGACCATTTCCCTCCCCGTTCTCAGCAGCACTGCAGAACCAGGCTGGCAGGAGGAACCCCTCTGGTTCTGCTGCATCTTGGAAGCGGGAAAGGTTGGGGTGTTTCTCAGGCACCTGTGCAGCAAATACATCCCATGGACTCATAGAATCATGGAATAGAGAATCACAGAATGTCCTGAGCTGGAAAGGACCCCCAAGGATCACCCATCCAGCTCCTGGCCCTGCACAGACCCCCCAACAATCCCACCCTGTCCCACAGTGTTGTCCAAACCCTCCTGGAGCTCTGGCAGCCTTGGGGCTGTGACCAACCCCTGGGGAGCCTGGGCAGTGCCCAACCACCCTCTGGGGGAAGAACCTTTCCCTGGGATCCAACCTAAACTTCCCCTGACACAGCTCCAGCCATTCCATGGGTGCTGTCCCTGCTCCCACGGAGCAGAGATCGGAGCTGTCCCTCAGGAGGAGCTGCAGCCCCTGGTGAGTCCCCCCTCAGCCTCCTCTCCTCCAGGCACATCCCAGGTGAGGAATCCTGCTCGACCCCATCCTAACCCTGTTACCAGAGGGATGACTCTTGGGCTGGAGGACACAAACAACTCTGATTCCAGCTCACACAGAATGCTCACAAAATCACAGAATCCTTGAATCCTCAAGACTGGAAAAGCCTTTTAAGATCATCAAGTCCACCAGCTGAGCCAGCAGCATCTCCACGTTCAGGTGCCACTGAACAGCCCAGTGGAGGGGATCTCACCCCCCACGGTGGCACCATCCCACCAGGAATGCAGATTAACTTGTGGAACTCCCCAGTTCCTGCAGTTGGACTCCAAGTCTGCCTCTCATTCCGCACAATCCGACCCCTGTGCCCTCACAGAGGGACAGTTCTGTCCCCGGCTCTGGAGCTGTAGTGTGTCACAGCACAGCCCAGACTGCTGCTGGGGTCGAGTCACGGCCCAATTCCCACAGAACAAAGCTCTTCTTTGTCCTGCAAACTGGAGAACTTGAGAAACTAAAGGAATTTCTCAAGGTCACAGAAGAATTCCGTGGAAATTTCCAGCAGAAGCCAGGCACTGACACCTCGGTGACACACAGCCTTTAGTAGGGACTGAGGCTCCCAGGTCAGGGGAATATTTTTAATTTCCCTTTGCACTGGCAGGAACAGGGCCACAGGGGTGGGACAGAGGCGAAAAGGTCTCTAAAGAGTCGAGTCCTTGGAAGCAGAGCTGCTTTAGGATCAGAATTGCTGTGCCTGGGCTGCCTTAGAGCTGATCCTCTCCCCTCCCACACATCAGGGGTCCAGAGAACCTCAGGGACAGGAACAGCACAAAACCTGCCCAGGCCAAGAAACACAGTTGTCACACTGGTAGAATGGCAGTGGAGAAAGGAGATTTGTACTTGGAATTCCAAAATAAGTTGACTCCTACAGGAAACTAGTGAGCAGGACCAGAGATTCCTTTAATATCAACTGAAAGATTTATTTTTTTCTTGCCATAATGAATCTGCAATTCACTTTTGCTCAATGATAAAACACTGAAGCTGATATACAGACGCTGGATTTTTAAGCAAGAGGTTTTTTTTTTAGTGGGGAGAGAAGGGAGAATATGAGAAGTTAACAATGGTTGCAAATGATATTTAAATCTTACTGGAAAGAAAGGAGGAATTGCTTACTTTTACACACAGCAAAACTGTAACATTCCAAAAGCATCATTATTCTGCTGTTAAAATGACAAAAATATAACCCTCTGCCCCAAGAGATGGTGCAATTTATTAGGATTTCAGTGCTGAATGCACTTGTCAAATATTTAATCATCCCATTCTTTGCATTAAAAACCGCGCAGAGGGAGTTTGCCACTGGGGAACAGCAACAATCCACAGAAGTGGGAATATTTTTGGAGGACACTTCTCAAGAAGAGCGGGAGATGTGGGCAGGGAAGATGGTTGTGCTGCCGTTGTGGGCTGAGGAGAACATTCGGGGTGGAAAATGGGAGGAGAGGCTCATCCAGGCCTGGATTTGCCAAAGGGAAAGGATCCAAGAAGAATTGTACCCCCTGAGCTCGGGGGGGCCTTTGCAGACAGAAAGCAGGGATTCCTTGGAAAGGGACATGGAAGCAACAGCCTGTTTGGGAATGCTGGCCCTGAGAGTCTGCCTGCCCTGGGGATCCCAGGAAAACCTGTGTCAGAGGAGGGGCTCAGCTGGAAGCTCCCGCTGCTCCGAGTCCTTTGGAAGCTCCCGAGCTGGCCCGGAGGGACCTGAGGAAGGTGACACAGCAGGGCAGGAGCCACAAGTCTCATCCCACTCCTGGATTTTCCTCTGGCTCCCTGAGCACAGAGGCATGAGCTGAGAGACCAGAACTGCGGGTAACTCGGGATTTGACTGGAATGGGAATCCCACAGGGAATCTCACAGAGCTGACTCAACTTCTTTCACTTTGAACCAGGCTCTGCTCTCCTACAGAATTCTTTCAGTACTTTGTTTTGGAGCTTCTCCCCAGCCACCTCTTCTCACAGCCTGACCATTCCTGCTTTGCCTGTCCATGTAAATCACGAGTGCCCAAAAAATCTGAGTGATAAAACAACTGCTCCCTCAGGAGCAACCCCCAATCCTGACAGCTGACTTTTCCATCAAACTCCATCCAGTGGGAAGAATATCAAGTCTGTCCTGCATGAGGAACTTTGCTGGTTCATGTCTGCAGAGATCTGTGGCTCCAGACAATATTTATGTTATAAATAACCTGATTGCTGCTTGGCCTCACTGTGTAACAGAGCACTTGGAACAATCACCACGGTGCAGGGATTATTATTCCACCTTTCTGCAGGTGGAAACCAGGGAAATGTGTTTCCATCAGTCATTTCCCAGGAGCCCAGCTCAGCACCTGCAGCAGAACACCTGCACTGCTCCTTTAGCAGTTCCCTTTCCTCGGGGTCTCAGCCTCTCTTTGCACATCAGGATCTGCAGCTGTTCTAGGAACAGATCACAGAGCTGATTTCTTGACCCTCAACAGCCAAATTCATACAAGACTGGAGTCAGGAGGCACAAAACAGACCAGAGAACGTCTGACAGTACATCCCAGCCACTCTGAGAGCTGCCCCCAGAAAATGGAATTTCCCTCCCAGGGAAACTCTGCTGGTTCAAATTTAATTTTCTTCTACCAGAAGAACAAGAAAACACCTGCTACTTTCAGCTGAACTTGTTTCAGCCCTTGTACACAAAAGGTGTTCAATGTTTCTGGGAACATATAGCCCAGAAACTGAGAATATCTCAGTTTTATACAGATAAAACACCCCGATATTCCCAGATCCCACGTAAATCTAAGCAATTTTTACTGATTCATCTCCAACCATCACCAAGTAAACTATGAACCAAAGTGGGTTTCTCCTAAAGGACCTGGTATTCCAGCAGGATGGCTAACTGTGAATCTTGTCCTTCCCCCTGCAAAATGGCAATGTCAGGACTGGGACACAGGTAAGGATGTACCTGGAGTTCCTAGAAAAACACAGGCACCATTTGCTTCACAGGACATGGCAAGAATTCACCACCAGGGCAAGAAAACACTGCTTTGCACCTCCTCTCATTCAGTGGGATTCCAGGGAGCATCCTGAGTGTCCACGATGACCCGAGAGAGGAACCACAACAGTGTTTAACTGAACTTAACCCTGGAAATGAGTCGTGTGAGGAGGTGCCCTGTGAGAAAACCTCACTGAGAGGGGAGAAAACCAATTAATGTCACTGAGACTTCATTCTCTTCCACTGAATCTGCTTTGGTTGGAATTCCAGCAGCCCTCCAGCCAACAGGACCATGGGATTTGCCCAGAGAAGCTGTGGCTGCTCCTGGATCCCTGGAAGTGTCCAAGGCCAGTCTGGAGCAACCTGGGACAGTGGGAGGTGTCCCTGCCCATGGCAGGGGTGGCACTGGGTGGGCTTTGAGGTCCCTTCCAACCCAAACCATCCATGATTCCATGAGCTGGTTTAGATGGGATATTGGGAAGGAATTCTTCCCTGTGAGGGTGGGGGGACACTGGCACAGGTTGCCCAGAGGGGTTGTGGCTGTCCCTGGGTCCCTCATTTAGCACTAAGATCTCTGGGGAGACCTGAGAGCCCCTTCCAGAGCCTAAAGGGGCTCCAGGAGAGCTGGAGAGGAACTTGGGATGAGGGGTGGAGGGACAGGACACAGGGAATGGCTTCCCACTGCCAGAGGGCAGGGTGAGATGGGATATTGGGAAGGAATCCTTCCCTATGAGGGTGAGGAGGGGCTGGGCTGGAATTCCCAGAGAAGCTGTGGCTGCCCCTGGATCCCTGGAAGTGTCCAAGGCCAGGTTGGAGCAAGCTGGGCTAGTGGAAGGTGTCCAGTGGAACTGGATGGGCTTTGAGGTCCTTTCATCCCAAACCAGTGTGGGATTCCAGGATTCCTGGTACCAGCAACACTCCCAGCAGCAACAGCTGAGTTGAGTAACAAAGCTCAACAACAGCAACACACCACTCACAGCCTTCAAAGCACCAGTTTCTGAGAGTCACAGGGTGTTAATTTTCCCTTAATTAGATACCTGTGATCCAAATCAGCCTTGGGGGACGACTCACACATTACTAAGAAGGCACATGAGCCCCCAGTATCCCAAACCCTTCAGCAGAGGGATTGACTCATCCTGCCCACTCCCAAGACATTCTTAGCACTGTGCACCAGGAGCAGCAGGACTCAGGGACTCTTTCAAAACAATCTATTTTATCTGTTGGTTTAACAATAAATTAAACTTAACAATAAATTAAACTTAACAATAAATTAAACTTAACAATAAATTAAACTTAACAATAAATTAAATGTAACAATGGATTAAACTGGAGGGGGTTTGGAGCAGCCTGGTCTAGGGGAAGGTGTTGGATTGGATCAAGATGGGCTTTAAAGTTTCTCCCAGCCCAAACCATTTTGGGAATTCTGGGAATCGAAGTTCCAGAGTCCCTCACTGAAAATGGAGCTCCCAAATTCAGTACACCCGGGCTGTCACATGCCATTAACTTCCTTCAGCATCTGAGATATTAAACAGCCACAAAAGGGACAGAAGAGGAATAATGACAAGCAAGGATTGTTGTCTACACATGTGAAGTGTCCTAGGCAGGAAAATGGGAATATTAATATTAAATTAACCTGAGTCACTGTGTTATGATTGGTGCAGGGAGAGGGAGGAAAGGGAATGAAAACTGCCAATAAAGGCCCAGAGAAATCTGGAACTGAGGGGGAGAAGTCACATATTTCCATCTCTCCTCTGCTCTAATCCTGGGTTTGATCTGTGTCACTGACATTTCCTGGGCTAAAAGCCCATTAAAACTCACCTGGCAAATCCCAAACAGCCATTCCGAGCCGGAGCCACGAGTGCCCTTTGTCCAAGTGTGCACAGGGGGGAAATCCAGGAACCACAGCACGTGGGGAAAAGTCATTCCAAACTCATTTCCCTCATGCCAGCACATCCAGCCCTCCCTCAGAACAGAACTGCTTTCAAACAGTTTGGAAGAAAATGTCCTGATGAAATATAGGGCTGAGCCACCACTGCCTCTCGTGGAATCATGGAATGGTTTGGGTTGGAGAGAACTTAAAGCCCATCCAGTGTCACTCCCTGCCATGGGCAGGGACACCTTCCACTGGCCCAGGTTGCTCCAATCTGGCCTTGGACACTTCCAGGGATGGAGCAGCCACAGCTTCTCTGGGAATTCCATCCCAGACCCTCACCATTCCCACAGGGAGGAATTCCTTCCCAATATCCCATCTGTCCCTGCCCTCTGGCAGTGGGAAGCCATTCCCTGTGTCTTGTCCCT